CAAAAGATTTCTTTTCCTGACAGCATTCGAGACTTTGACCCTGAGCCAAACTTTCGTGCTCCAATTTGCCACGGTGCGTTTCACATAATGACACGCAGTGACAACACATTGCCATTTAATATCACTGTTTTGAGATTATTCTCCTCTAATACTCCTTTTCTTTGTGAAAGATTGTGTGTTGTGTTGTTGTGGAGTTTTTTGTGGAGGTTTTTTTTGGCTTTTTTTTTGCCATTTGCAATAGCTTTCTTTTGCCAAGCCAGAACAGACTGGGCAACTCGTTAGGTCATTTTGTGGGTGTTTGTTCTGGGGGACACTAGATAATTGTTAATGCAAACATCACTGAATAAACAAACAGAAGCCCAAGAAAATTCATTCAGTTAATAGTGCCTTCTGGATCACTGACTATGGAAAAATTGTTGTTTATAGAGTGAATCATTAATTTGGCTTGCATATGAGAGAGGCTTGCCACTAAAATAATAAATTATGACTGGCAGATAAATACCATACTTGTTTTAACCAGGGTAAAATGAATGAAACTTTAAAAACCATGTTAGTTGCTAATTGCCAACTTCAATTCTTTTGAAGCATGAGCTTTGCTAAAAGCTGGACATTTTGTTGAAAAGCTTTGTTAGGTAATTATTTTCCTCCCTGCCAAAGAACTGCAAAGGTTTGCTGATTCCAACCTTCATCTCAGTCCTTGCACTATCAGGTAGATTGAGGTACATACAGCTTAGGGTCCTCCAGCTTCTGGAGCATCCTTCTTCTTGCATTAATTTATTAAAACTATAATTCTGTGCAATGGATATACAGATCCCCCTTCATGTATTGAATTTTGTGAGGAAGTATGAGGAAGTGCTTGAATCTAGAGACTGTCTGTTGCCAACTCAATGAGAAATTTTTCAGCAAATGAGGTCAGTATGTAAATTACTAAAAATCATTATGTTAACTGAACATAAGTAACTCAGTGGTCAAACAAAATATAATTCAAGTGTTCTGGAAAGCAATAACTGAATGAGAGTTTATTAATCTGCAGTTACTCAACTGCTCCTTTGATTTACTGCGGTATCTGCATGCCTCTGACCACTCTCCAGTACCAAACACCTTGTGGCAAACTGGATGGAATGAATTTGGATTTGAAGTAATGTTTCTCTTTTTCCAGAAAAGTTTTTATTTCCTGTAAAGCACAAAGGACTATTTTCCCTATTTATAATAGAGAAGGTTTGGGGTTTAATTTTAATTATTGCTAAAAAAAGGCCTTGCAGACTTACAATGTCTGTATGTTTAATTTCCTACTACACGCAAAAACAACAGATATGGTTTTCTTCAGACATTTTTTACAATGATGAGCCCAAAATATTTTGGCAATAATAGAGGCAGAAGGACTTCAAAAGGCAAACATTAGTAGTAGACTATTATCATAAGTAGTTGCTGGTCTGTGATTTCTGCCTTTGAAATATAGTTTTAGTCTCTTTCCCCATTAGCAGTTCAGACATTTCTCAGACAATAAGAATTTCTTGTGATTTTTCTCCATCAAGTAAGACATATACAAGGGATATGCAGTGATATCATATGCTAAATAAAATTGCATTTGATAATGCATAATTTCTCCATACAGTTGTTATTTGTGCATACAGTATTGTATTCTTACTGCACTACTGACCTTGAGAATGAATTGTTTCATACTATTAGTAGTATTTAATTTGGCTTGTGGTATTTCCTACACTTCACAAAGTGTCTCTTCTTGATGTTGTGCACACAAGAAATTTTCTTTTTGTTTGCTATTTTATTTCATTATTGTATACTGGAATGTTCAGTCACCGAATTACTTTGTGAAATTACATCTATTATACCACTGGAATATGACCTGATTTATTATAAGAAGATCAGAGCATAGCTCAAGTGCTCAGTGCATTATCCTAAATGAAGTTTTGTCTCTGAGGGCTGCCCCTCATCTTTGCCGTTATGTTTTAGCCATTGATTTCCCTTTAGAATACAAATGCCATAAAAATACTGCTTGGTAAATGTTTCTTCAGTATTGAATAACTGCTTTTTCTGCCAAGGAGGTGTCAAAGTCTCTTCCCAACCTGTCTGTCACACACTGTTCCTTTTACATGCATCAGCAGAAGTCAGCTAAATAGGTCTGATAACTCAGTTTTGGAGGAGATGCAGATTGCAAGGCAGGTTGAAAGGATGGCAGGTAACTTTTCAAAGCTTGCTTGTTTACATATCTTTGATTGCAGTGGTTCCCAGCCCCTTTGGAGAGAGGCACACTGCTTTTGGAGCCTTCATTTCTCTTTGAGTGATACGGGCTGTTCATGCCTCCCTCCGTGCCTGCAAACCAGGTTCTGTCCTGGAGCTGTCTCCTCTGCACCTCCTCAATTCAAAGGCACAGGCAGCTCCTTTCTCCCATTCTGATGCACAGTTTGTCCCAGAGCAACCTAATGGTGGGGAGGGGCAAATTAAAAAAAAAAAAATTATCTAGGCTGAAGGAAGCTCCTATGAGAGCTAGAAAGTTGCTCAGGTGAAAGTGGCTGTGATTTGGAGATGGGGTTGCAGAGATTAGCCAGAAGCTTATCACGGATATCTGTAAGCAATGGGTTTCACAGTTTATCATTTTACAATATTTTTTTTTTGCAATTACTTAGGTTTATATTTTCTGCCTTTTTTCATGTGCTACAGGAGAAGCCTGTTAATAATCATTGGGGCTTTTACCAGCGTAAGATATAACATTTCTGCATGATGCATGATATGTATTCCTGTAATTTAATTATCTAGAGTGTTTATTTGGGGTATAAATGCTGGAAACAATGACATTTCAGAGATTATTTATGAGGTACTGCACTTGTAATCAAACCTTCTGTGTGCTGTTTGTAAAACATCAAGTGTTATAAAATTGATGGTAGTCGCAAAAAAGAACATTGATAATGGGCTGACATTCTCTGTGCAGCTGCAGATGAGAATCAGTAGGAAATAGAGGGAAGCAGAAGCAGTGGCAGCTGTATTGCAAAGATTAGTTACTGAGATGTTGCCTGCCTGAGAAACACATAAACTCTGCAAGGAATTTTATTTTGTGTTGAGAATGATGTAGCTCCAGCTTTACATTTTAGACACTATTTTATTAGTAAAAATGATTTTTTTTTTTCTGTGATAATACAAATATTTCTGAATTAAGTAAAAAAAATGCATTATACCTAAAAAAACAAGAATAAAAAGTAGTCATACTATATTACAGAAATGAACAAGGTTAGACAAGGCTTAGATCAAAGAGTAGCTAAAAGAGAATGAAAATGTAATTGTCATTGACTGTGGAACCAAAGTTGCCCAAACCCAAACTTTGAAGAACTTTTATTAATAAGGCAGAAGAAAACACAAGAGAATAAACGTTTGACTGCAGTAGGAATTAGTGACCTGCCGTGACCAGGGCCCAAGGAAGGAGAGCACTGTGCATTACTTCAGTTTATGTTTCAAAGATAGATGCTCTTATAGTTCCAGAAGGCTAAGAAGTCCTCAGAATATTTGGCTAAGGTGAGTAAAGTCTCTTTTTGACTTGAGTTTATTCAGCTGCAAAAAGAGTTCATAAAGATTACAAGGAAACATACTTTGTAACACAATGACTGACCCACCAGAGAGAAAATCTTTGAAACAGTAATAGTGACCTTGATTTTATGAGTATTTTTGATAGCAGAATTACAGATATAGTTTGTTATTGGATCTTGGAGCTCGTGTAAGGCTGATAAGGAAAGAATGATGATGGGTCATTTTCAAATTTCTGAATTGTAACCTGTCCAACCTAGTCTATCTTGGCTAGAAATTAGTCTAGAGAACAGGCTGTGAACCAGGCAGAGCTCAATAAATAGAGAACATTAACCTCATATGTGTGCTGTTCAATAAAACTGCATTCAGGCCAGCAAAATAAATCAAGAGACTTAATAAATATTTTATTATTATGAAGTATGAAGAGATTTAACTGTAACTATTAGGTCTTAAATTTTGTACTATGTGAAGAATTTTTAATTTTATTTTAAACTTAGGCTAAGGGTGCAAATTTTGTGTTGGAACTTTGAGTACTATACCTATACAAGTAATGGCAAGAACATTATTAATGCAAAATAGCAATAAAATACTTGGTGGAGAGAATATTATTACGGGATTTTTTTTTTTTTTTCTGCAGGCATTGAATGGAGCGGCTGTTATGCCCAGGACTGTTTTGTGTTTCCTGAAAATGTTACTGACTGATGCATGAGTGTTTCTATTGCAGACCCAGCAGCAGGACACTGTTGGTAGCCTCTGCTAACACTCTGTTCCAGTGGCTTTAGCACATAAATAAATGAATGCATAAGCGTGCATGGTGATGAATACACTTTAAGTAAAGGCCAGGCAAAGTAATAATCACAGGATTTGGTGTGACATTTTGCCAGCACTCACACGTATTCCTGACTTTTCTAACATTTGTTTTTCAACTAGTAAATATTTCTGGAAAGTGAGCACACTGTTAAATGACAGCGGTTTCTGTGGAGAGATTAGGTACATTAATAATATATGAGACAAAAGGTACTAGTGAGTAATGGTTTTTAATTAGAGGTGAAAAGAAAAAAAAGTTTTCTTAAAAGAGGAAGTGTTCTGAGGAGCAGCACTTAATTGTCTCTGTTTTTGTTACTTTTGAGTATACTCTTAAGAAACAAAAATTGGAATGCATAAAAGGAAAGAAATTTACACTTGCGATAAGAAAAGTATGTTTGAATGTCCTGTGAACGGGAGGAGGTGGTGAGAACACAAGCATTCCTTGATTATATTCAATGAAACCAGGTTGTGTACTTTATAAGAACAGGAAGAACTTCTAACATCTTCCTAATCCTGTTGCAACTTTGATCATTTCTGCTTTTAAGCAATGGCTATAACTGGACCTAGCAAAGAGGAGTGCAATGGCTTGTCTCAGCCAGATAACTCTTATGTTTTGCTGTATCTTTTTCATTCTAATGAAATCTTTCTCTCCATTTTAGACAAATATCACTTGCTGTGTCATAGCACATGGATTTCAGGACCGCCTGTGAAGAGGTAGGATCAGATTTTTTTTCAAATAGTAGAATGAAAATCAATGAACTTTTAATCCTTTCTATACGCAACATACTTTTCCTCTCCCTTTTCATCCCCTGAAATTTTAGGAATTATATAGTTAAATATAAGTTATTCAGCTGATCATTTCATTTCATGGTGGCAGATGGACTTTGTAGTAGAAGATGAAAGAATTTGCGCAAGTGTATTCATCACTAGACCTCACCTCTGTTCCCATTTACCTCTTTAGGCACAATGTAGGTGCAGGCAGCTACGTTTTGTGTGAGTTTTGCTCTTCTTGAAATTGTTTATATCTGAAAGCTTGTACATGAAGAAAAACGTCAGTGGAGCCAGGAATCTGTCTGGTGCTGCTCAGCAGAATCAAGGGGGAAATGTAGAAGTATGGGAGAAAAGTGGGTAGGGAGAAGGGAAGCTGTGAAGATGACCAAAATGGAAAGAAATTCCATTCAGATTTAGTGAGGTAAGAAAGTAATTTTTGCCTAGAATTAGTTTCATAATACCAATGGAAAGTACTTCAGTCCCCCTCCACTAGAGATGAGGGAAGTATTTTCTATGTTTATACTAATTTGTCTTAAAGAAATAAAATAAAATGTATTTGTAGACATTAGCAAGGGCATCTTATTTACTCAGTGATTGTCTATATACAATTATTGTAATATGATTTTAACAACTTCAGCAATTGAGACACAGTGAGAACCATTTACAGCAAATTATGTAATGATTTAAATGCATTATTATAATTTAAAAATCATGACAATTAGCTGTATACTGAAAACCACAAACAGCATTTAGGAAGGTAGGACTGGAAGCAAGAAAACTGGCTAGAACTTTAAAGGTGACCATGATCCCATGAAAAAATAGAAGTGAAGGGATTAGAAGAGCACTAAAATCAAGAACGAACTGCAGCATAACCAACTGTGACTTGAGAATCAGTTGGAATAAATTAGGGGAGAAGAGAAAACAAGCAGACTAAAGAACACTAAATCACGATAGCATTCTGAAACTTGTAGTAGGGTCAAAAAGTAATATTAAAATGAGCCCTGCCTTTGGGAAAGAATACTGTGGTGTTTTTCCAGGATGGTATATATCAGGATATAATACCTCAGAAGATGCGTGCACGGTGTAAATTCTATAGCAATATATCCCAGATTATTTGCATGGAAGAAAGCATTCTTACTAGTTTTGAGGTTTCTCTTTTCAAATAGAATATTTTCAGTTGGAAGGAGCCTGCAATGATCATGTAGTCCAACTTTCTAACTGCTCCATGGCTGACCAAGAGTTAAAGCATATTATTAGAGCATTTTGGTTTTGGTTTTATTATTATTATTATTATTATTATTATTATTATTATTATTTCTTTTTGAATGCACTTATTCAGGTAAAGAGGAAGAGAAGTATTATTTTCATAGTTTTTTTATGTCGTTATTCTTTAAACTCTGTAGACTATTTAGTGACATGTAACTTCACTCTGTGTCCAGCAGATGTAATGACAGGAGCAGGCACAGAAAGACAACTTGGCATAAGTGTGCCTTTACAGTGCAAGTGCACTGACAGATCTGTTTCATTCTGTATCTTGTTTCTAATGGGGGCATTGATTTCAAATTTAGCTCTTTAAAAATTAGCTGATTTGCAGAGCTTCCATGATGGACAAGGGAAGGAAAGGATGATTTCACCCATTCTAAAAAAACTCCATGATCTGGAGATCGCAAAGTTACTAAGTTACTAAAGTTACTAAGAAGTTTTTGATAATGGCAATAAAAGCTTTTGTGAAGCATCTTGGCTGTCTGATCTTCCTCTTCCAGCCTTTTTGTTTCCTTTCATCTGCATATCCCAGTGCTGTAGCCGCTACGCTGCAGAAGAGCTGAGATCGTTCTCCCAAACTGGTGAAGGCAGCTCAGATTCTTGTTGGTGCTTCCATCTTTAGTAATGGCAGTAAATGGTTTGAGCTGAGTTTCAATTAGCATAAAATCAAAATTTTCCACATAGATGCACTGAGGCTAAAGCATGTTTTTCATGGTGTCCATGACATCTCAATTTTTTTTTTCCTCAAATGACTTTTCATTCTAATTAACTGCTGCTCTAGTGCACCGGAGGTCTCTGAGGAAACCTTAGTTCTTTCATAGTACTGATGCTTTCATGCATCCCTAATTTCTTCTAGTGTCTACTAGTGAGATTTGATTTGAGATTTGGACACTGAAATAGTCTTGTCTCCTTATAGGTACCTGCATGTGCGCTTTGTGCCTAAGTTCCTGCAGCAGATCTGATTGGAGCAGTCAGGGTTACAATGAGAGGTTAAACAGAGATATGTAGACAGGTAGAGTTTGTTTCCAATCTCAAAGTGATTTCTAGTATCCTAATGATTATTTTCTCCCACAAGCATCTTATCTTCAGGCTGTGCTACCTTTCAAGGCATCTTAAAGTAGTTTTTGTCTGCAGGAAAATAACTTCCGTGCTAGACAATTCAAATGGCACTACATAAAGAGGACATCTTACAAACATATACACATTTTTTAAGGGAAATTACCTGCTATCTGAAGAGGTGATTTTTTTTTTTTTTTTTTTGGTGTGTGTGGCTTCTCTGCTTGCTACTTACGGGAGTTTTTTCACTGTTTCATACTTCATTATTCAGTATTCCATGCTCTTTTCCCTCACTTATCAGCAAATATATTCTTTTTTTTTTGTTGTTCTTTTGTTTAACAATTTCGAAACCATAAGACTATCCAGCTCCTCTTTTACCCTTTATCCTGAGCTTTTTGAACTTTACAAGAGCATAAATCACAGAGTCACTGGGTTCTTAAAATGCTCTCCTGTACTCACTTGACCTTATTCTATATTCTGAAAACTATCTCTTGCAAGATAACCTCAGTCTCTGACATAATACTGTCCTCTGCAGTGAAAGTATCCTTCTGTTGAAATTGAAGACTTGGGATGATTATAATGCCTTAGAACATCTTCCCCTATGATTTTTTTTTTAAGTTCATCTTTTCCATCTACTTTTTTTACTGTACTTTTCATGTACTTTTAGAAAGCTGCATTAGCAGCTTTCTAACTTTGTGAAATCTCATTCTTTACTTCTAATAGCTTAGCTTCTCCCCTGTCCCCAGTATAGCATCAAAATTTTTAAGTTAATAAATACCCCATTCATTTCCCTGCTTACACTCTATCCATTTGTTTTCACAGTAGTGTCCATTGTTTCTTTGAAGGATTAATTTGAATTGGTAAACTGTTTGTCCTCTGCTTTATGAATTCTAGAAATATTCTTCTAGAATTCACAAGCTTTATAATTTAGTATGTTCTGTTATTCAAAGGTATAGTGACCTCTCTTTCAACATCCATCTAGTTGGTAGTGGGGGGCTTTCCTGCAACAAAACGTGTTTTAAATTTTAAGCCATATTTACCTTCCTTGTGAATTTCTTCCCTAAATATTGTTATATACTTTTATGGTCTGTTTCTAGTCACCTTTATGTCATTTTGTGATTCACACATTTCAGACTAAGCTGATGTTTTTCTTTGTTTATAAATCCTGTTAAATAACAATACAGTAGATTTCTGGGATTTTTCTTAAATGAAGCTTCAACTCATTATTTCACCTCAAAATCACATGATGGAAAATTACTCACAATTTACAATATCTGTTAGAATGTAATAGGAGAAGTAATTTGAAGAAACATACATGTTCTCGCAATAGCCTTTATATTACCTTACCTCTTGGGTTCAATTCCATAGTCACAGTAAGCTCGTTGGCAACCCAGACATCAAAGTGGCATCCTTCCAGTGTCAGAAAAGGAAATTTTCTCTCTGAAAAAGTACTGTAGCTTAGTAAGAAGCTCATATATATACATATTTATGTAAATATATATTTTTTTCCAAATGTCTAATTTACATTTTATATTGCAGACTGTATTAAACAAGGACTTTCTCTATAAGAATTCATTATTTCAATAAAATCACTTAGACAGAATACTACAGCAAATACTTACCTGGCAAATACATGACAAATCAAAATAAGTAGAAGTCCAAATTCGTAATTTTTCTGTGGTTCTTTCAGACTGGAGTGTACAATTCCTATGCAGGAATGGACTTGCTGTCCTTTGGATTGGAAAATGTTGGTATCTGATTGAAGAAGCTCTGAATGACAAGCTGAACACATCCCTGTGTGTCTGGGCTGCATTCCAGTTTTTGACAATATAAGGGCTTTTCACTTAAGCTAGCAATGCCTCTACAGAATGTGTAGCTGGACTGTTTAAAAACATCCCATATATGGTTCTGACACATATTCCTGCCTCTTGAATCCATTGCTATTACCTCCTTAAATCCAATGCCATTACCTCCTTAAACCTCTGATTCAATTTCCTTTTTTATTATTATACTTATGATTATGAAGCAGTGACAGGCATATCTCCAAATATTCAGAGGTCAGCCTCAGTTCAAATAAGCATCCAAAAAGGTAGATATTAATCTGAAGGAGCTAGGTACACCTTTAAGGCAGTTTTGTAACCCATTCTCCTTACTCCTATCATGTTCATGGTAGTAGAAATAAATGTCAAGGCTTAAAACCAAATTGCAGAAGCTTACTTTCTTTTTGGACATAACTTTCTTTTTTGACATAACAGTCAAAGTAGAAACTAAAACTCCAGGTCACCTTGCATAGAAAATGTGCTGAGTTATTTGGGGTTTTTTTTCCTCTTTCTTGCTTCCACTTGTTCATGGACTAAACTATTCTGGGATATTTGTTGAAGTCTTTCTGCTGATATGAAACTATGAGAAGCAAAGCTAAATAAATTGTTTTATTACTGTAGGGCCAAAGACATAGATAAAGTAGCATAAAGGAGAATATATAGCCATGTCTTGAAAACTAATCACAAGTATTTAAAATTGCCTGAAAGACTGATAAACTCTCTTTGAGAACAAAACACAGGAAATGTTTTAGAATGTTTTTTTTCCTTGTCATAAATGACGAAAAAACCCCAAAGACATAAAATGGAAAAAAATTAACAGAAAATCTGCAAGCAGACTTGTATAAGTCAGGTAAATTTAGAAAAAAGTATTTATTTTGGAAGTTCTGCAGGAAATTTACTTCTAAATCAACAGGTAACTTTAACGATGTTTGTCCTGCAGTATTTATTTTGGGATTTGTTTTGTAGGTACCCTGCTGCTAGTATAAATGTAGGAACTGTAGTTTTCATGTGTATTTTCCCTGAAATTAATTCTTAAATATTTGTGAAGGCCATTTAACAAATGTGGAATATTTATTTTGGTATGTAAGAATTTCTAAGTTCCTTTTAGGAAAGGAATCTTTAGGCTGGATCTTTTACACAGCCCCTATGGACAATGTGCTGTAAGTCAGGGTACAATTTTTAAGTGGCCTTTTTTCATTGCCCTGCTGCTAATAATGATCAGAGTGTGACCATATTCTCTGGAAAAGCAGTCTGCCTTAAGGGCTTAAGGTGTACCTCTACTGTCCTCTGGTAGTGACCTGAAACAGAAAGTTCACCACAGACTGCTGTGACATAGCAAAGGGAGATCTGTTTTCAGCCCCTCCTGTAATATATTGCAAGAGGGGCTGCAACTGCTTACAGTTCCTGAACTAATATATATATTAGTTCAGGAACTGTAAGCAGTTCCCAGGACATCAGCTCTTGCCTCATCAGTGTTCTTATCTAACTCAGCTTGAAACTGTGTGGAATGAGATAACAGAGGCAGCCTTGTGTGGGTGCAACATTCACTGCATCTGTTACTTAGGTACCACTACCTTCCTTCATCACTGCTTTTGCTTGAAGCCACAGGCTCTTCTCTCACGTGGGAACCCTTTCACCTCTTTACATTGCTTCCATATGCATTCCTTAACGCACCTCCTCTGCTTCATAAAAATGTGCAAACACTCAGTTTTCTTCTCATCTTTTCAGCACAGGAGCCCAGCGCTATAAATAAGGTGATGCTCTTGGTGATTTGGGCTCAGTCAAGGTTTATTGGCTTAGCAAACTGTTATCAGCTGAGCTCTGCTTCTGTCTGCACGTTTGCTGTGAGGTGATGCGGTGTACCACACCTTTGAGCACAAGGGGATGCCTTGCATGGCCCAGCAGCTCAGCCAGTGAGCTGTTTGTGTCCTATTGCTGTAAGACAGGAGTAGGGCTCAGCCCTCTGCCAGTGACATGGGGAAGGCTGGGAGGGAAAGTCTTAACACAGCCTCACATGGAATTTCTTAAAAATTGGTGTCAGGAACAAAAGGCATTATCAGCCGTAGCTCTGCACTCCCACATCTCATGCACATGTATACACACACATGCACACCTTCCAAGCTCTTCAAATGGAAGAGAGGGCAGGGCTATAGGCTATACAGCTGATCAGGATAATTTTGCACAATAATTTTGGCCACATGAATAAAAATGTTGATGTGTGCAGCAGTTTACATGAAAGTTTATATGCAGGTTGTCTTCTGTGATTTCCAGCTCTGGAACAGGAATTCATACTTTTATTTTACTCAGTTTGTGGAATACTTTGAAGGGGGTAGGTGAGAGCAGCAAGAAAGAGGTTTTAACAGACAAAAATGAAACAATTTAATTCCAGTCTTTGTTCTCAAGGTCTTCCTTTGAAGTTACCTAATGAAACTCAACTACATTCTTCTCCTTAACATGGTTAATGCAACTGTCAGGTTAGAGAGAGAAGGAGCTAGTATAATTGAAGATTTAATTTTGAACTGTATTGTAAACTAGCTTTTATAAAACCCAAAAACAGTAAAGTGGTTCATTACATTTTGGAATGTCTGATGTAAATAAGGTCTCTGAGTGTGTGTGATCAATCTTTCCAAGGGCCAAAATATTTTGTTGTTCCCAGGCTTGATTTGCTTGTTCAGGCTGAATAAGCTCAGCTCGTATGCATTTAGAAACTGACTTGAATTTTAATTTTATTCTAATGTCTAATTGTGCCTGCTGTGGTTACCTCTAATTTCTACAAAGTAGCCCCTCAGCTTTTGCAGAAAGGCTCTAGAGATTTTATAAGGTTATTGACCAAATCAGAAATGTGCAATCAAGTAAGGCAGAGTTACTTTACCCAGTGTATGAGAGGCAGAATTTATTCTATTGCCAGTTATCCAGGGAGGAGGAAAGGCAAACTTTGCTGCAGAAAACAGGCATTTTCTAAGTTTTAGCCCCTTTGTTTGACCATAATTATTTACAATCCACATTGTTCAACTTCCATTGTCACTTACTGCTTCCTTCACAACTTCAAGGAGAGAGGAGGCATCTTAGTGTGTAAAGGAGAAGTCCCAAGGACATGACTACTATTTTAATATTGTAACATTTTGTGTGTGATATGAGAGAATTTTTCAGTGGTATTGAAAACCTAACTCCTTCTGTGATCCATTTATTTTGTCTGTGCCCATTAATCAGTTTCTCTCTTGTCCAGTTCACAAAAAAAAAAAAAAAAAAAAAGAAAAAAAAAAAATGTGAATAAATATTAGAAAAATAGTATGGGAAGAGTGTTGACCAGAGGTTCGACTGACATCACTGTGAGCTCAATGCATGGAGCTCTTCATTTTTTTTCTTCTTCCTACCTAGATTAAGAATAAAAGCAATGTCAGAGCCGCTTTCAAAGTCATGGCTGAGTTATACACATTTGCTCCTGGAATGCAAGAAAAAACAATTTTCAAAGTTTGAGTGTTGAGTATGAAGCAGAAGTGACAGAACAGTTTGTCAGTGCAGAACATTCTATAGAGCTATTTAAAGATTGTCCTCGACCTTTCCACCTCTTTTAAAGCCTTGTGAGAGAGATTTAAACTTCTTTTTTGCCAGTGGCCTACTGTCAGTTCCATATTTGTGTTTGTTCTCTCCATGCTATGGATGTAAGAGCACATTATGGGGAGATCTTCCAAATCCTCTTTTAAATCTTGTCTGAGAAAGAGCCCTCAGATTCAGCCAGGTCAACCTTGGCACTTAAAGTTCAGGGAGATACTTTTCTTTCCTTGATCTCCTCTTCAGCCAACTTTTTACAGTTGGTAGATTGAAAACTGACCTGAAGATAGTAAAGGTTTTATTATTAGTACTTATGAGTCAAAAGTTTTCAATACTTTTTATGTGTGAATTTTCTTCTGAGATACATATGTGTAGATATCTATACATCTATATCTATATCCATCTATGTATGTATCTATGCAAATACGTATGCTGATGAATTACTTGTAAGGCTAAGTTTTTGGATTGTTTGTAAGCAGATTTCTCATATAAAAAATGCTCTACCAGTAGGAATTGTGTCCAATGACAAAGTGCTACAAAGAGTGCTATTTTCAACATAAACTTCAGGGAAAATTAAATACTGAAGGTACTTTAACATGCCAACTTCTACAGTGGTCACCCTCTCGTGTATAATGCCCCAAAAGTAGGTACTACCACAAAGGCACTGTTAATTGCTGGAAAATCATTTATTATATATTGAAGAATCCTACAGAACTCCTGATCTTTAGCCATAAGTGTAAAATGTAGAAATGGAGCAAGAACTAAGTTACCACAGGGAGTTTTAGTGGTAGATTTATTTTCTCTTATTCTTAGCTCAGCATCCTCATTTGAAAAGGAACATAAAAAAGTTCAATCCATATTGTATTCACAGGCAAAGAATAAATAGCCCACAAATAGGTTCATGTAGCTGTTGATACTCACATCTGGCTCTTTTGGAGGTGTCATTGTATATGTTTCTGTGTCAACAATACACTCTGTGGAGGAACAGCTTTTATTTTGTGTCCAAGTGGGGTATCATTTAATGAAAAGGCAGAAAATAAGAGCACAGCTGATTTGAAGCAATTCAGAAGGAGTTTCACAAAATCAGTATGGGTCAAATAGCACCTTATTGCAAGATCTGCCTTTAATATTTACTACTGTGTCATTTGTTCTCTTGTAGTCTAAACACAGTAAATACAGTGATCATTGAAAATAGTTTTGGATATTTGTTAACAAGGTTATGGTGACTGTACCTATCCATCAAGTATTCTTATTCAAAATATCACTTCTAACAATTCTAAGTGCTAACTGAAAGTAACTTTTTTTCTTTATTCCCTCCTTTGAAGACAAAGACAGGGGTTTGTTTGCTGCAGGATGGTAACCAGGAGCCTTTCAAAGTGCGACTGCACTTAGCCAAAGATATTTTGATGATCCAGGAGCAGGATGTGATCTGTGTGTCTGGTGAGCCTTTCTATTCTGGTGTAAGTAGTTTTTATTTCTTCTTTAAGATGTTCTTTGCAAAGAAACAGTGCTGTGTGTATGTGTGTGTGGGTGCATACACACATCTGTATGCATTTGCTCCCATGGATTGATATTTCGTTTTACACTGTTAACACAATGCTTTTTTTTGTGAATAAATATTAGCAATACGCATCTAAGAAGCAGAAATAAGATAATAAGGTCTATGCATGACTGCAGCACTGTTTCTCTTCTCTCACCCTTGGGTATTGGAGCCAGTGAATGTGGGAGGAATGCCACAAGCAGTGGTGTTTGCAGGGAGTACAGATACCTCAATGTACTTATGTATCTGAGTATTGTTTGTGGAGTTGATAAGATAATTATGTCAAGGCTTTGCTGGTGGAGGAGTTACCTTTTATCCTCTGTTGCTTGGATTCCTTCCTGTGGTAGCCCAGCACTAGACTTCAGGAATGCTGTGAGAGTCACTAGCCTTAACAGCATATCATGTTAACAGACATGGAACAGTGGGATAATACAATTTATGTATTACTGTTTTACATGATGTGTCAGATTCCTTATTTAAGCATCATATTGAATTTTGTGCATGAGAAACTACAATTATTTGGAAAATCTGTAAAATTTTATTTAGAATAATACTGTAGGTTTTAGAGCTATTTTAATGCAAAGTTTTTATTTAATATTAGGAGATGATAGGTACAAAAATAATAGAAAAAATAGCATTAATTTCTATAGACATTTTTATAGATACTGGAATTATATTTTGTAGAGATATTTTTAAGATTTATGTGAAACTATCATGAACATTTTGGTCTCCCTTTGAGCTAAATAAAATACTCATTGAATTTCATGTTAAATCTTGTGAGGTGTAGTAGTGTGATATCTATTTATACAAATGTTTTTTAATTCCATTATGTCTGTTTTATTATTTAATTACTGCTGTTGCCACATACTTGCATCTCTAAATACAAGCACAATAAAAAGATAGAAAGCACAAATGAAAAATAATTGGTAGAATGTTAGCAGTGCAAAGAGCGTGAAAGATTAATGAAAAAATGTATCAAATTATCCTTCTCATGATTATGAATATCTCAAGGTGAATTCTTCGGAGCTTTTCTCTGAAACAGAGGAGCACGTTGCTTACATCTCCATAGAGTCTATGAGTTTATTTGCTTGACAAATCTGACATTAGCTCCTGACGGTTTCATGCTGAACAAATGCAGTTTGCTGATACAGGTCTGTATCCTTTATGTGGATTATGGATGCTCCTTTTACCAATCAGACTCTCCTGTTCCTCAATAGACAGGACATCCAGCAGCCAGGCTAGAAAGCAGTTATGAGTTCAAGCTCAAGCTGTAGTAGTTCAATTAGCAACATACACTGTGGCACCATTATTCCACCAACACCATTCTGACTTTATTTATTAAAAGATTTTATCACTCAGAAATATGACTTTCATTATTCTGCTGTAATATCTGTAATATCCTGCTGAACTTGTTATTTAAATGTCTTCATGGAACGCATATTAATTTTTTTTCCCTTTCACAACAAGGCTTTCTCTTACAGTATTTCTCTCTTTAGTTTTGCAAAGGCTCTGTGGAAAATAGATTATTTGCTTCCCCAGTTAAACTCCCCCATATTATTTGCATATTGATGCATAGTTCATTAACTGATTGTTATTAGTGTGTTGATGCAGAATTTCTTTTTCCTGGAAGTGTTATTGATAGAGTAGTGACATTTGAGCACTTTACTCTGATTTCCGTTGGGATTAAGACTAGAACTTTTAGCAGTAGGTTCATTCCAGCTAAGGATGATTGGCATTTCACAGACAGGTAACTGTCCTTTTGTCACAGGTAATTTGAATAATCTGGAATCATGTACCTTGGTTATATACTATAATCACAAAAGTTCCACAGGCTTCTTTTTTTTTTCTTCTATTTTTCCTCGGTTTTATTCCTGATTTATTAGGTTTAATTTGTTTGTTTACTAATTTTTCCTATGTTTTATTTTGTTTGGTTGATTTTGTTCTGTTCTTTCTGTCATTCTAGATAACTGACTTCATTTATCCTTCTTTTACCTGAATTCTACAAAGCAAGGGTTTTCATTAGCAGCTGACACTGAATGCCTCAGAATACTCTTTAAGCATAAAAATAAAATTTGTAACTGCAGAACAATAGTATTGTTACATTTTACAGACAAGTAGCTACAGTAAAAGTAATTTTAAATCTGTTTAAATAAATAATCTTTAAATAATTTGATTATAAGGTTTTGCTTTATCACTGCTGCACTGGTATGGAACGAAAGGCTATTACTGAGTTTCTAGTTCAGAACAGTGTCTCTTCTGTTTGTTGAGTCTGAATCAATTTGCATGCTTCTCTGTGTAGGACAGTCTTTAAACAGGCACTTAACGTTCCAGCAGCATCCAGATCTGCATCCTGTGGAATAATCTAAATAAAATCAATGGCTCCTTAGGAATGAAGTGCTGTTTAATGTGAGTGTATGGGATAAGGACCTAGTTCTTAATTTGGAACACTTCCTTTTGGTGTTAGACAGTTCTAGTTTCCAAAACTAAAGAGCTGCAAAGAAACGTTGTTTCTTCTTTTGTTGTATGCAGTTTGAAGTAAGAAAATAAAAGCATAAAAGATTATAAGCAAAATAAATAGCTTATAAAATCTTTTTCTAAAAAAAGAAAGCATCTGTTTCTTTAGTGGGCTGAAAAAAATGATAAGCATTAATGAGGATCCTGCAGCAATTCTACCTATAGCAATTCCATATAGCATCAACTATCATTCAGATGGTCATGGAGTACATCTAAATTTGAACATCAGTTTCATCAATAAGTATTAAATATATTTCTTTTTGTGTGCCATAAGAAAGTCTTGCTTTTCGAGAGAAAGAAGTGTAGCAGGTTCAGCATTATACTGCTGGCAGATACCCAATGTAGATTTGAGCTCCAGTGCAAATGACCAAAAGTGGGATGAGAACATATTGTGAAACTCAAAGTGTGGTGGGCAGTGTTGTTACTAATCCAAATTAAATCCTTGCCTGTAGAGAGGTTTTATGTTATGGGAAGTGTATGCCACAGTTGGAGTGACTTGTGTTGAAAGATAAGATTGCTGTCTGTCAGGTCAGGTACGCCTTTTTCTCCCAGAGCAGTTACAAAATGTCCTAAAAAGAGTAGAATTAAACCATATAGGAACCTCATCACTATTTATGGCAGAACTGTATAATATGTTAATATAGTCTTTTAAGCATATTTCTTTAATTACTTGAACTTATGCTCACAACAGTTTGCTGTCTGGTGTTCCATATAACAATGTGCAGTGAGGCAAGTCCCACTCTTTTTAGACATACATTTAAATAGCCTGGACTAACCAGGATAGCCTAGTGCTGAACTTGGTGAAAATTATGGTGGGAGAGGAGATAGCCTAAGGTATCTGAAGTAGATTTGTTCCTAGGAAAGATTTTAATATTTGCCATTCCAGAATCAATATTTTTATTTTAGAGTTAACCCTTGTAGTTTCTGTTATCTTTCATGAACATCTGAAATTCAAGGAAAAGGATTATTGCACTATATCAAGATAAACAGGTTATCTGTTTGGGAAGCTGTGGAGTTTTGCTTCTTTTCTTTAATAAATTTTGTTCATTAATTGTACTAAGAATTTTTTCTACACATGGAGTCTATGTGCATGTGAGATCCATAAATTAAGGATATGACAATGAACCATCTGACAGAATGGATGATTTGAATTAGCTACTCTTTTTTCTAAAAATTATCAAAATAAACTGCAAGCAGCTGGCAAATTGTTAGCTACCAGGATAGTTTGCATTTTTACAAAATTTTCTTAAATATTCTTTTAAAGGGTCATAGACTTTACAAAATACTGCTAACTCATCTGATGATAACATACAGATGAGTCACATCTCTTTCAAGTAATTTATTTCTATGCTGCTGTGTAGTAAATGCATTAATTAATTAAACATTAAGAAGTTCTTTCAGTGGTGTGATTTTTTAATTAAGGATATTTGGGGAAAATTTGTATGAAGGTCAATCATAACTCAATATTAATAAAAAGTGAATGAATGGGGTTTTTTTTTGTGAATTGATAGAGCGACAGCTCTCAGAGTAGCGTGGCATTTGTGCAAGCATTTTGCTGAGGTTGATACAATTGTATCTAAATGTAGCTTATGGACTGTAATTAGTTTTTTTGATTGAAAAAACTATCAATAAACACCTTTACTAAGGCCAGGATACAACACTGTCTCAAAGTGTTGCACTGCAGCCGGATCTGTTTTCTGATACTATTAACCACACTGTCATTTTTTTATTGTAAGCATAAAAAGAAAGGTATGTTTCACTTTTAGGGTTGTCTGTATGCTGTCGTGAAATCAAGTGCTGAAAGATTCATAAATATATATAAAGCTCGTAAAGTATTAAAGAAAATAGTTATTAGATATTTTCTAATTTTTTTAGTTTTGTATAAAAAAGCATTTTAAATTAAAAGCTTTACACTATAGAATTTTTTCTTGATTTTTTTTTTTAAATTTCAATAATAAAGTTATTAATTTTTAAGAATAAAATTAAATTCAGAGCACTTCACTTAGGAATGACATGCCTGGGAAGTCACATGAAATTATTACATTTTCCTTACTTGAATATTTAATTTTTTTGAGATTTTGTGAGAATTAATTTTGTATCTGTTATATTGCATCATTCTCTCTTGGAAATTTTGAATTTTCTTGTCATACATTTTAGTGGTGGTAAAAAAGGTTCAATTAACTTCAGCAATTTTAATGAATAGAAATAGAAGAAAAAAAATTAAAATGGTGAAAATGGAAAAAAGCTTAAAATGGTAAATTATAGTTTTAACTTATTTTCTTTATTGTCTTTATTTACAATTTTGATTCTGATGTGTGATTGAATTTTATAAACAATGCCAAAATGGAACTCCCTGTCTTGTAAGGAATATGTGCACAGATAGGTCACCTTTCAAGCACTTACCAT